AAAAATTTTAATATATCATTACAGACAGACACTTTTCAAAATTGCATCTACTATAACTCAGAGGTTATCATTTTTTTTCTCGTTCACAGATTATTTTTGTGTGTTTGTTTTTCTTCTTCCATGAGAATATAACTAGAAATAATGAAACTTGTAAATTTATAATTTTTTTTATTCTAAATGATATACAAACATTTTTTGTTTTATAAACTCATACTTTTCTTGTAATTTGCATGCATCACTGCTTATAAGTCTTTGGTTTTGCTTGTGGTGTTTTACGTTATTAATTGGTTTCTCATATCAGCTATAAAAATAGGTGGGAAAGATACTGTAACATCTATATTTAGAGCCAGTAAGGTGTTCAGTTGTTAATATTTATCATCAATTATTTTTCCTCTTCATTTGTGTATTAATTTCTTTCCTACTTATATTATGAGATATATTTTTATCAGTTGGATACTGATACTAGTAGGTACTAGATATTTTTTTTATCAGTAGGATTCAGTCTTGTGACTTATAGTTATAATATCCATTTCAAAATTTAATTTCAACAAATAAGTAACTTTTTTTTTAAATCTTAAAATTGATTTATAATGATATAATCAACCATTCTCACTTCCAACATTACAAAGAATTAAAAGTGGAACCATTAGTGTAAGAGAACTAAAGCAAATGATATTGTAATTATCAACATTTTGTCATTGTCCTCTTTCCCTAATTAACATTCTTGTAAATTCCACTTAACAATACTCTAGTGGTATTCTTACTATTTGTTTTTACTTTTCTAGTGTAGTAGTTTTTAATATATAAAATTAATACAATTTTACATGATAATCAGGTGTGTGTGTGTATGACACAGTTTTTTTTTTATGTCCATGAGTCATTTTTTTATTTGTAACCTAACTCAGCATGTTAACATTTTATATAGAAGCCAAATATTCACCATAAAAAATGTATTCATGTAAAAATGTATTGTTAAATAATGCACTTTTGTTTCCTCGACATTTTCTCTTGTCTACCAAACTTTTATCTCACACACACACACACACACACACACACACACACACACACACATTGTTAGAGAACTCATTCTTGTGTTCATCTTGTGTGCATATTTCTATTCTTTTATTAATTTTCAAAATTTGAAAAATAGTGACTAATTTTCAAAACTATTTTAAAATAGTGACAAATTTTTAATGAATTTAATATGTTGTTTTTATATTTTATAGTTTTTGTTGTTTTACTAATTTCATCTGAAATATATATATGCTTTGATTATAATTGGTACTTCAAGTTTCTATTTAATTTCAAACTACAGCATTAAATTAAAGTGTGTGTGTGAGAGAGAGAGAAAAATGCATTAATATTTATTAAAAATATTAATCAGAAAATAAACAAATTCTTAGTTGTATGTTTTAGCAAAGTAAAAATGTTATTTTTTTCAATATTTTACAGCCAGAATCATAAAGTTTTTCTTATAAAAGAAGTTAATGATTAGCTCTGATTTTCATTTTATATGTCAAAATTGCTAATTAATGCAAACAGTGAAGTAGTCTGCTGAATAGATTCAATTTTTTTCAATAAAGAAAATTTAAAATTCGTTGTTGGTAAAAATATTAAATTAAATCTTATTAATAAAATATTCAAACCAAGTTTATTTTTGGCATTATTTTTAGATGAGCTTATCGTACTTGTAATTTTATCTTTATTTTTTCTCTTATTCAAAAGATTAAATTGATTAGAGCAAAAGTATTAACCTTTTAATGTAAGTGTAATTATATAACATAAAAACATATCTACATTATGTGTATATATCCATTTTACTTATTTAACAACTTGTTCATATAATTTTCCATTGCTTCTCTTAATAAATTATACAATAACCACGCCATAACTTATCACAATTAATCTTCTGAACAAATAAAATATAAATTTCCTTACTGTCAAGAAAAGCTTTTATTTTAAAATTGTATAAATTGCCTTCCTCTAAATACAAATGGATTCTTTTTTAGTTAGGCCAGAATACTGAAACTAGATACCTCATAGCCTGCTGCTCCACCATCTGTATAGGAACACAGCATAAAAAAAGAAATCAGATTGTGTGATCTTTACCAATCCTACTTCATATTAGTATAAATGAAAAAGCTTATTGCTCTGTGTGTGTGTGTTTGTGTTGGCTTCATTTTTACCTTCACTGACTTTTTGCTTTTAGTTATTTAGTCCAATAATTATAGGCTCACACTTTTCAAGTCTCTTTCTATTCTTGCCTTCAGTTGGAGTGCAATGTATCATATATAGTAAATGGTCCCTCTCATTGTCTGTTGTTTCTTCTATCTCTGCCTTTATGAGCCTTCATATGCTGTTTGTTACTTTGAAATTTGCAGAAGAGCTCAAGTGCTTTCTTCATCTAGTCAAGTAGTACATTTAATAGGACATCATAATAAGTTAATAAAATAATTTTGTTGATGTTAACAATTATTAGTGTTTGTATTAATTTGCATTCCAAGTAGTGTCTTTGAAATGACAGAACATAGGTTTTATACCAATAATAATCTTGATAGTCCAGTTTTGTCCCTTTTATCAACAGTACAAGTCCTCCTTAATATTAGCTTCAAATGCAAACCCCTAAAATGAATTGTTTTCATGCTTGAAATAATAGCAATAATGTTGGGTGTATTTTTTTAAATGTATTTAATAATTTTTGAATTATGAAGTGTTTTCAAGAAGTCCTACTTAAAAAAAAATTGTTTGGTTATTTGATCAGATTTTAGAAAGTGGGTTGTGCTGAGAACTTTTCAGCATCTCCTTATAGTATGGCATATTGGTATTTTTATCCTATATTAATATAAAGGTTTCATTTTGATACTCAGCTTTTGAAGTAAATATCAAGAAAATTTGTATAAAGTTCAAACATTATTTTTGCCATTTTTTGTTTAAAATTTGTTTTATTAAATAAGTTATGATATCTTAATTATAGTTTTACTTTAGTACAAGTGTTTTCTAGATAAGATTTTGTGGTAAAATGTCATTCATCTTAATAGTTTTTATTATATGTAATCTCTTCAATGTTTGTTTTTTGATGGAATAAAATATTGTTTTCAATTATAGTTCTTATTAACAAATGGTTTAGCATGTGTTGTTTTGCATTAAATGTTGCAGAGATCAAATCTTCAGAATATAGTGATATATTTATGATAAATATTAAAGTATCTACATAATTCCTTTTTAAGAAGAACTCTTGTTGGTGTTTCAAATACATGGCATTTCTAGTGCATGAAATAGTATCAAAATATAAAGGAGATCCATGAGAGCCATCCTTTTCTTTGTTTTCTTCTTTTAACCCTTTTTTTGTTTGTTTTTGTTTTTTTAATTCTGAGCTGATTAGGGACAAATTATTTTCTTTTTCTTTCTAGCAGAGGTTTAGGATTCAGCTTCTGGTTCTTTCTAAAATCTCCACATTCTCTTTTTCACTCCCAGTAGCCCCTTGCATCTTAGTGGCATTATCCCCTTGCTTGGGATGAAGTGATTAAATAAAATGTTAAGATTCATGCTAATTTTCATTTACTATAAAATTATCTATCATACCAGTATTAATAGCAGTAGCTTAAATTCCTCCAAGTATCTGCACAAATAGTTTAATTAGCTAAAATGTAAATACAAGTGGGATGCTGAATCATTCTCTACCTGACCGAGAAGGGATTTGAAAACTAGTTTCTAATGTTTTGGTTAGATTTTGTGAAGTGAGTCAAGCTGAGAACTTTTCAGCAACCCTCCACAGTGTGTCATAATCAGATAAAATGATGTGTATGAAACAAGAGTTGAACAAACAATGACCTATTGAAAAATTGCTTAGGCATGTTAGGCCTTTTATACTAGTTTAATTATAAAGATTTCTTTTGGGTTTGATTTATTTACAATTGCTTTTAGTCAGTGAAAAATATTAATTTACCAATGATTCTCTCATGTTATTTTAATCTTCATGGCAAAATGAATCCCAAACACAAAATAAATTCATTTATAGTTATAGCAAACTTATATACTTTCCCTTTCCCCCATATCATGTCTTTTAGATTATTGGCATATTGCAGAAATCACAAGTAGAAAACCAGACTAACTAGCTTAGTGGAAAGATAATTGATACAGCTGAAGAAGCATCTCTAACAAACTAAATATTGGAATATCATCTTGATCAATTAATCATTGATTCATTTTATGTTTATAACTGTTTCAATCCCCCAAAACTTAAGCCTATCAAAATTTGTTATTATAATCTTTCTTAAATGATTTTCTTCAACCAAGTTTAATCCAAGTTGACCTTTAAATTATGTTCAGTAAATTTGGAGGTTCATATTTGGAGAAAAGAATGTTGTTATAAGAAATAACTTATAAGAAATAAATAATTTTGTTTTAGTCACAGCAGCTGTGGCTAAAACAAATTTATAGCTCCATTTATTAAATTACAACAGATCTATCTACATTACGCTAGAAATCAATATTTATTTCAGTACTACCAATTTGGGTAAAAAAAACATTATGGGCGATGATGTTTTTGCTTTTTATAATCTTAAGCATCTTAATTAAATCCATTGACAAAAGTGACTTTTGTTCAATGGTAATATTTTCCAGTTCATTCTAGTCTTCCCTTTTATCAGTGGTCAAGTCCAAAATTGTGTACAAGAGACATCCCTTCTACCAATTTTATAGTTTCCTTGAAAAATTTGTCCAGAAATTAAAAATAAACAATTAAGATGTATCAATGCTGAAATGTATATTAATCTTTCACAATACATTATTAACAACAATATCTTAATCTACAATAATAATGATTGAAATTCTTTTTTAGAATAATTGAGTGTCTGTGTTCATATATTTATATAGAAATCCTTTTTTTTTTCTTTTTTTTTTTGTTTGTTAGAATTCTTCTATGGATGCTATTATTCAGTTTTGACATAGGTACAATAAAAAGTGATGGTAATTGAGCAATTCATTTGTTTTTCTTGTAGCTGTAACAACCCTAAAGTGAACAGGTCACTTCCAGAAGTAGTTAATGAAAGCCAAACATTCTTTCATCAACTCATACTCAAGGTAATTACATGACTTTCGTTCTCGTTTTCCTACATACACTATTCTGCTTACTTTAATAACCAAACAGACACACACACAAACCTGATAATTACTGTAACTTTTATATCAATGAAAAGAAAATTCAATCAGAAATTACATTTCCTTTCATTGCTTCTGATCAGTTTGAGATGGCTCAATGAAATCTGAAAGAAAGCAGTTTATTTAGGTTTATAGTTTAAGCTGTCCACTAGTCTTATTTTCATAGCTACTTTGTTTGTACCTTTTTCTCAAAATTTTTGTCGTATTTCTTTTAATGGATGCTAATGAATCTTATCATTAAATGAACATCTTAGAATTTGAGACACAAACTTAAATGAATAACTTACTACCTATTATTTTTTTTTTTGAAATAAAGCAAAGAAAGCAGAGCAAATCATTTAAATATTACATCAAGTAAAAGTGATCATAACATTTAGCTTCAGTGGTATTTCCAGTAAAATGTTTAATATTTTCAAATACCATGAAAATATATTATTAAAAATGTGGATGTTGCTTTTTGTTGGTGCTGGTAATTTGGTTTAGATATTAAACAGTTTCTTTCTTCTTTTTTTTATTGAACAAAATTAAAATTACTATAATTTTTTATTATATGGCTGACACATCTATTGTAAAGTTGTTCATTTTTTTTTTTGTTTAATTTTCTTTGCTATTGATTTTAACAAAATTATAAAATGTTGAGCAAAAGTTATAGAGGAAGAATAGAGCTACAAAAAACAAAACACTATGGTAAAAATATTTTGTGCATTAATTCAAATTAAATTGAAAAAAAAAAAAATGAAAAATAAAATCCTTTAAAATTTTACATGAGTCTATAAAACTTGAAACTGAATAAAAGGAAAGTGGATAATATTCAATGCTATATTTTTGTTGCTTGGCCATTGAGGTTTTTAATGGGTATTTCTTACTGTTATTATTAAGAACTGATCCTAATAACCAATATAATAGTATAAAGATTATGGGTTCTTATATTCAAAGGGATCATTATTTTTAGCATTCTATTCTTGATATAATGTTTGAACTATTACTTTCTTTGTAAATATCCTAAATCCTGAGGTGAATCAATGTTTTTCCTGATCAACAATTGAGGATATGAGTTAGCTCAACTTTTACTGTTTTAATATTTTGCCTATTTACTTGATCATCATGTGTGTTGAACTCTTGATAAAATTATTATTATGCTTTTCTTTTTTTTTTTTTTGTTAAACCTAAACACAATAAAACTAACTCCAAATACATGTATATCGGTAATCAGTATTTGATTAACTGATGGAATAATTACTTTTTTCTGTACAAATATATAAATATATATTTCAAGGCACTTTCAAATATAAAAATAAATTTAATATTAAAATCTAACTGAAGCTAAAATCTATTATCAGTCTTCATATAACATTTAAATTATTTGCTTTACAATGTTTTAAAAATTGTCTTATATTTAAATGAAAATCTTCACAAATCACAATTTAGAGAATTGCATATTTGAAAGATTGTTCTAACAAAGTATTTTTTCTATTTGTTTTGTTTTTTCTGCTTTCCTCTATAAAAGTTAACATTTGCCACACTTAAGTATCCAGACTAGACACTTCACTGTTTTATACAATTATTAAGAATTCAAATGTGTAAAAGTAATTTAACACTGTCACTTGCCCAGTGTTAATGTTTATAATTCTGTAAACCAGTTGAGAGCTTTTTCAGATAACTTATTTGAAACACTGTAATATAGCAACAACTCTAAGTAGAAGCTTATTCACCTTTAGTGATGAAAATGTTTATTTTATTTTAGTGGATGGTTACAAGTGAGATGGAAGATGGGATATGTTTATTTTATTATCACACACTCAAAACAAACATTAATTAGAATATGTCTATTTACAATTATAATGATTGAAAATTAGTACTTTTGCTTTCATTGTTATTAGTTTTTAAATAATTGTTACATTCAAATGCCTACTTTTTTCTGTTAAAATTCTTATAAATATAATAATTTAATTTTGACTTAGTTAAAATGTTTATTATCCTCAATTATTTCTGAAATTATTATGGTTCAGTAGAATTAACTTTTTTTTCTTATAAAAATAATAAAAGATATTTTCCATTCCCACATTTAAAATATTTCACACTTTTTACTCTGTAAAACAGTTTCATTATCTAGGAAAATTCAAATCAAAATTTGCATATTTTATATATATATATATATATATATATATATATGCAAAGCCTAATGATTTATTTTACATATATTTATTTCTCAACATTATCTTCCTCCTTGCCAGTGCACTTAATTCAATATTGAATATTAATCACCTAGATCAAAACATGACTAATATCTCCATATCAGGCTATAACTTATTTGAAACACTGTAATTTATTGATCCAATGTCTTATAAATGTATGCAAACAATTTACAGTGTCCCCTATAAAATGTAAATTATTTGTAATGCTTTCACGAGGAAAGTAATTTTGGTACAGATTATTTCATTAGCTTGATTGTTTTTAAGAAAACTTTTGTTGGCCTTTTTCTTTCTCAGCCCTTGGTTTTGTTCATTTTTCAAGAATATGAATTTTTGCTCTATAAGATGTTTGCAAATGTGTTCATATTCAGTTCACATTAATCATATCACTGATCAGGTATGAACTAGTATAACTACTTAACATTTTTAGATAATTATGGTAACAATGTTTTTTATGTAATATATACATGTGTTTTATATATCTTGTGTTCTTTTCTTTTTGTTTGGCTACATGCTTTTTTTCTATTTAATGTTAGATGAGTCCAAATGTTTCTTGCTGTATAGCTTGCTATAAAAATGAATACCATTCTTTTTAATAATTACAGACAAATAATGTGCATTTATAGTCTGTTGAGATTGATCATTTACAAAGTGTGTTTATTATATATTATGCTGTTTACATGAATGTCTTCACTTTATCTGGCATATCTTTGGTACAAACAAGTAGCCATTAAAATCAGTAGAAATGTTTTCTCTTTCTTTTTAGACAGCATCTAGATTTTAAAATAGTTTTTATTACCTAACAAACTTATACTTTAAGAATATGATTTTCCTGAGGTAGGCCACACGTTTAAACTTGAAATTAATTCTTTTTGTTTAATTCAGTATTTTTGAACATTATAAAATAAAAAAGACATAATATAAAAACACTTTGTTATCACTTGTAGAACTCAAACACCATAGTAGAAAAATTATGCTTCATTTACATTTTGTATGTTTTAAACTTGATAAATAAGAAAATTAAAAAAAAATTATGGGATATTTTGACAAATTTCTTCATAGGAATTTTCTATGAACTAATTTTTAAAGATATTCTTCCTTGCTCTCATTTTTAAGGCTTCTTCCTGAGGATGTGTGTGTATATAATTGAGAATTAAGTATTTACAAAAAAGTTCTCTTGGCTTATTACAGATTATTACAAAAGATAAAACTGGTACTTAGTTGTAAAGGTCACCAGAGTGTTGAATTTTTTTAAGCTTAATCAAAATGACTGATAGTAAGTTCCCACATTAGTGCACAATATTAAATTAGCATAGTTCTTTATTCCATATAAATGTATTTTACTAATATGCATTTCACTACTGGTTATAGATAACTACACATGGATTTTTCCCATCTGATTAACCATCATTATTCAATAGGCAGCGTATTGGACATTAGTCTTCAAAAAATAGTGTTCTAGTCAGTGACAAAATTCAAAGAGTCTGTAATGTAATTGATTAACATTACATGACCAGGCATCTTGACTTCAGTTATTTCCTCACCGTCATGATGTGGCGTCTCTGTCTTTTCTACAAATGTTTTCATGGCAACTGTTCTGATGAGCTTTTTTTCACTGGTGCTTTGACTACATGAATTTAAGATAGACTAGGATGTGCGTTTTGGTGTAATAGATATCAGCTCAGAATGAGAACTCTGAGTAGAGTTTGAATTCCAGTTAAGTTCATTAGATTCACTTTCACACAAATACTCTTGGGAAAGGTATGAATCCATCTCTTCTCCCCCCAGCTATGGGTTGAATAGCATGATAGACTGGGTTCTTTAGCTTTGGTTGGCAACCAGTCTACCACAGAAATAAAATGGCAACCTACTGCAGGAAAAAAAATCTGCCTTAACAGTCATGTATTGAAAGATACATGATCACCCAAGCATGTATCACATATGGCACTTAACTGACTGACTAGATTGACAACTAGGTTTTACCATTTTAAAGTTGAACTAGCTGGATGTAACCATAAGTTCTATTCTAATAGTTTCTTTTCTCACACTTCTCACTTGTGGAACTCCCTTCTGATTTCTTGCCACCTACAATCTTCAAAAATGTAAATGCAACATCAGTCACCATCTTCTGTCTTCTTCCTTTATTGTCCTTTTCCTCACTTCTCACTAAAGTCATTTCATTCTCTTTCACTCCCTTAACACCCCCCCCTGTGTCCTAGTGGCATTATCACCTTGCTTGGGGTGAAATGACTATAAAAAAAAAAAAAAAATTTTAAAGTGAAGAGAAGTTGTTTATAAAAAATAGTCAGTATTTGTAATATATATTTATTGTCCTCATCTTTGTTGTTGTTATCACATATTCAATTCTGAATTGAACTTTTTATTGATAGACTGTTCTTGTTTCACTGCCCATTCCCTGTAGCTTACCAGGATCTATATACACCTGATGAAGGCCAGAGGTTACAACAACTGAAACATGTCTGTCTATAAACATAACAAAGATGAAGACAATAGTCCTAATATAAATTGTCTCTGAAATTCATACAGAAAAATAATAAAAAAAAATCTTCTATCAGATAATTTTAAATTATGAAAGACGAAAAAATTCTGAAAAAATAACAAAACAGTTACTAATTTCTTTCATCTTTAGATCTTTCTCAAGTAAGTGGATATTTGATGTAAATATGCAATTTGATTAATCAGTGAAATATCATTTGCTAAATAAGTTGA